GTGTATACGTATATATACAATGATAACTATAATTTAATAGCCAAAATATATAATAATGCAGTTTTTGCCCCAATTTACTCGTGGTCACATAAACTGATCATACTAAATACATCGGCCAGATTCGTGAATGTATCACCCCTTAAAGTTTTATAAGCTTGATATCTTGACCTCATTTAAAGATTGTTCAATCTTATATGACCAATATATTTTGTATGTTTGCAGAACGGGGAGAATCTAGCCAATATTGCCGGATCAAGGCCAATTGTGTTGACTATGATGGGGTCTAACGATGTCATTGAGGTGCCGATGTCAGCGGTGCGTTTCATTGAGGACATGTCGGACTCTGAGAAGCAAACAGAACTCATGGTATGTATCGGGTGTACGTGTGTACGAGGTGACTATCAGTTGGAGACCAATGGCGGTGATAGGCGACGCCATCCGCCATACGCAGACCAAACCTGGTTCAACGCAAGTTATTGTGTACTTTTCCATGTATCCTTAAGCATTCCCACGCAAAGGTGTGGACTGAAGTTGTAGTGCACGAGCCAGCTATTTTATTTTATATTTGTGCGACGGATATATTGGAATGTCGTCGGTGGCTATCGTTGCGTGTGATACGTCGTGCCCCTGGAGTGCGCGGTCTTGTGGCTGCAATCTCAAGCGACGCATGGGCATGGGTGGGCCTTATAATTGTAGTTGGTTCACGGACTGTACCCATTCTCGTTACCAAAAGCTCCGCAGAACCTTCTGCTCGTCTCATAGATAGCCATGCGTAGTCTTTGTCCCCGGCGCATGTAGGGTCATAGAACGGCAGACAGCTATATCAATCCAATACCTGACAATATATTATATACACATATCGATATATCTACATTTCTATGCATCTAATATATATATTCGTGCACATTAGTCGGGACTCATGACTACTTTTTCCTCTGGTCAGAGGTTTATGCGTGACCGTCATAATCTGACTATGGAGGAACGCAGAATGGCTGAGAACTTCATCGAATCAATACCCGGCATGCCCGATTTCCACACCTACGATTTCAGCTCCGTAAACAGTATCAATATCTTCCGAGCGGATCTGGCTAAGCACAATACGGAGGCTGTACACCTAGTTAGTCAGGTACACTATATATATATATATTTATATATATATAGAAGTTGAGTTCTGCGAGTACTTTAGTTTCGGTATGACTGTGTAATGTAAACACGGCGTATAGGGTGGCGATAGAGACAACATCGCTTGCCAAGCGTGAATGCGTGGGTCATTCAATTGTTCCTTGTTTGTTTGTGGTTAGTCCAGCCCGTGGATGTTTGTAGTTGGCTTTCACTATACCGTCACCCTATGTTCAGATGATGCGGGTGTAGTTCGCGATAACTATCTTCACACAACCTGCTCAACAATCCCACTTGTATCACTCTACTTATCTATATCACCAGGCTATGCGGGTGGAGTTTGCCTGCAGTAGTAACGACTTAGACGCACTTAAAGGCGTCGCCATAACCAACTATCACCCCGCATACTCACCATTGGCACTAGCTGCTTCTGGACTGGTTCGTACGTCACATCCTCTGACCCTGGCGGTCAACAACGGCAATATCGAGATGGCCAGGTACGAAGCGTAGTACAAATCAACGCATACGTATTGGCGTGTGAGTATGCTTATATATGTCAGTGAAGCACTTGCTCGTGTCTGTATATGGCAATCGAGTTATGTTCTTGCATCCGTCAGGCTTATATGTCAGTGAAGCACTCGTTCACGTCTGTATATGGCAATCGAGTTATGTGTGTACATATGTGCATGTAGTAGCGTATTCGTTAGGCTGATCTGGCTGTGAAGCACTTGTCCGTGCATCGAGATAGTCACGTAAATATTTCAGTACAGTGTCGTCCTGCTATGTTTATCAGTGCAGATCCCATATTGCACAACATTGTTCATGGCTATATACGGCCTTCGTGTCGGTGGTTAATCTGAATTGGCCGAAGTTCGGGACTATGACGTATAGGTCACATCGATCGATAACGTACACACCACATCGATCGATAACATCTACACGATCGACAACGTACACAGGCTGTCCTAGGAATGGCGCGTAGTCAGGGAGTGTGAGAAGTTCGGTACCATTTTTTATCCGGTTTATCGGTAATCGGTGTTCCTAGCGACCATCTGGTATACTCGTAACTATCCGTTTAGCAACACACTGTGTGCACTCCCAAAACAATCTGTGTGATAAGGGGTGGGAGATGGGAGAACACTGTTGTTACTTCTCTCCGTGACCTTTGCCCAGTGTTATATACATACTCGGATGTATCTGTTCAGTCTCACCGGGGGTTACTCGTCTTCCAAGCAAACGAAAGGGATGGGTACGCCCGCCACATTCGATGTGTGCAATGTGTGCAAGAATAGGTAACATTTGATCCGGTGCTTCACGAAATCGAGACTGTGCATTCACTGGTACATACTGGTAACAACGTCCCCCTGGCATACAAGTTGTGATGCATATCTTAGCGACGGATAGATGAGCTAACATGTACTACATCTCGATTTCAAGAAGGGATATGTGAAGTGTTTGTTCTCATTCAATAATGGATTTTGGGTTGGTTTGTACTCTCAGTAGGCACGTACTGACCTTCTACTTTCATTCACTGGTCAGATATAGATGGAATCCGATTGACTTTTGTGTTTGGCCTCGTCCACTCTCCAGGTATATACTTGATGAAGGGCGCGTGAGTATACCAACGACGTCGCGTATATTCCGGAATAGGAGAGAGCTGATACCGTTTCTGCACGCAGCCACAGCCAAGAATGATATTGAGATGATGAAATTACTGCTGGCTCACCATGCAGATCCCTATGAGGTAAACATAACAGATATGTACCTTAAGTATTTAACATATATACACATACATATCTACATGTATAAATAAATACACACACTTATATATATATACATATATATATATGTGTGTGTATATATGTATATATACATATGTATATATATATGTGTGTGTGTGTGTGTGTGTGTGTGTGTATATACTGTCTGCACACTCTCCAACTGGCACTGCGCTATGTAACTTGGATATATGGCCCATACAATGTGTCTTTTGGGAGTGACCGCTAACACGGTCATATTGAGGCAAATGACAGGTTGCTAGAGTATCACTTGTACCGAATTCCAACAAGGGGTTATATACTTGTAGTTCTGCATAGATGTAGTCCTGCATGCCTATCAACACAATCATATACGTGTGTTCATTTATTCAGCAGCTCACTCGTATCCGGCACTATTCTAAAACCTTAACATTAGGTCGCCCACAAGATGTGTCCTGTGGGGGTGGCGTGTTTACACGGTCACCTTGAGGCCATAGACTTTCTGTTGGAATACCGCTTGGACCGGTCAGAGGTAGTGTGCAGACGCAACATGCAGGATATGGGTGACAAGTGGCTGGATTTGTGTGCCATGAACGATGCACCCGATGTTGCGCGGCTGCTTATAGGTGTGTTAGCTGAGTTTAAATACGCACTAGATATGATGAAACAACAGTATGGGTTAGTTTATATCTTTTATTGTATTAGGTATGTTGAGCATGCTTACAATTGTACCATGTACAATCATATATATGCACACTGAATACTAGATGCAGTGGC